ATTTTACAAGATGCTGTTTGTACTCAGCTACAGAAAGTGAACAATGATTTTAATCAGGGTATACTTCAGTGTGATTATCAAATGAATCTTCACTCTAAGTGCTTAGAAATAACCATTTTATGCAGAACTTAAAATATGTTTCATAAGACCAGCTTTTTATTCAATATTAGAAGGATTTAAGGCCTTGGAACCAATATTTTTAATGCAGAATGGTTAATTTTTGGTTGACTGCATTAACAGCACATGGTATTTTAGTAGAGGGGCTGCGATGACATGTTACTCTAAACCCTTAAATTCCTGCCCTTGAAAAATAGTCATGGTAAAGTGAGGTAACTTCAAAAATAATTTATTTTTCTGGGCCTCCCTGGTGGCGCAAGGGGTTAAGATGCAACCTATGAAGCTGTCCGCAGCCACTGCAGCATGAGTTAGATCCTCGGCCAGGGAGCTATCCACATGGTGCAGCAGACCTCTCTTTTCTCTCCCGCTGCTCCCAGCTGGAGACCTCTCCTTTCTCTCCCGCTGCTGTCAGCAGTGTATTTCAGTCTGTCTGTCTGTTCTGTTCCCCTTTCTGTCTCTGGTGAATCCTGTCACCTCCCACACCTCTGGCCTATACCCCAGTTCTTGTATGTATAAATAAATCTTTAAAAAATAATTCATTTTATTCATGTCTTAGAGTGAGGCCATGACAAAAGAGGAAATACAAAATTTTTTTACTTAACAGAACTGGCTTGCAGACAAAGTCCAGGAGAGAATATCCTTGCAAGCTCTCTGAAAAGGTGACCACAAGCTAACCTTGCTTTTCAGACCTGGGCTATTGAAATGAAGAGCTGCTGAGTGACAGTCACTATTCCTTTGTCCTTAAGAGTAAACTCTTCCTTTTCTTGTACATGCCCCACTGCACTCATGTCATTGAGCACCTGCCCCTGACCCCCACCCAGTTCCCATTATTACAAACTTCAAAAGAAGATCTTAAGACATGGTCTGTACAGCTTCCCTATTTCTTGCTGCTTTATAGACAGAGAAGCTGGTTCCACCATTATAAATACATTTCAAAACATGAAACAAGATCACAGAAATGTGATTGTCACTTTAACCTGAACTTGCCTAGTCTCGATGAGAAACAAAGGTTGATTGTACATTATTTGGAAAGTAGAGCGTGATTTCACCAAGAGAGAACTGAATCTGTTAGACAGGATTTAGACTGCAGTTTTAGGATTGCCTGTGGCCTAGCTGGAAATGCCAGACTTCATCTACAAGGTGTGAAATCAAGAGCTTAGATATGCACAAACATTGCACCTCCAGAAGATGGAGAACCAAAAATAAACTGTACAGAGACAGTGTTATATAAAGAACAGCAACAGTAGCTCTGTACAGTTAGCATGCCACAGCTGTGAGTTAGCAGTAAGAAGTCTTTTTCAGCTTTATCATATTTGCCTCTGTTTAGGAATAGATGAGGATATCTGTTTATTGTATAGCTTCAGAGAAATTGTATTAAGTTAGTAAAAGAATAGACTAGGGATCAGTTAAACTCATCAAGAATAATATCTCATTCTTTCTGGTTCTAAGAGATCTGTTTTTCCCTAAATAGTATTCTTAAAATATTGTTTAGAAACTCCTGGTTGATCTTTCGTTGCTTTTGTAAGTTTCTTTGAAGATTCATTTTCCTCATTCTGGCTTTTGTCATTGAAAAGAGGAATAGAATAGCTCTACAATACATTTTGAGGTTTATATGAATATGAATGCTCAGTTGCAAAATGCAAAATAAGCACATACCTAGAAAGCTTATGGAAGGGGGCCTCCCTGGTGGTGCAAGGGGTTAAGATGATGCACTATGAAGCTATCTGTAGCCGCTGCAGCATGAGTTCAATCCCCAGCCAGGGAGGTGACCCACATGGCACAGCAGACCTCTCCTGCCTTGCCTGCCTCTCAGCAGCATATTACAGTCAATCCACCTGGCCTGTTCCCCACTCTGTCTCTGGTGACTCCTCTCACCCCCCACATCTCTGGCCTGTACACCAGTTTTTGTATGCATAAATAAATAAATCTTAAAAAAAAAACCTTATGGAGGCTTGTGGAGGAGCAAGTGAAGTCGAGTTAAAAGGAACAGCAGAATTAAAACAAAACAAACAGCAACAGTTGAAAACTAACAGTCCTTAAGAAAGAAGCAGCAGAGCTGATAATGAAATGAGTATTGGAGGTCAGGAAATCCTAGTTGTAGGTCTCTGTAAAACTGAGGTTTAGCTTTGCCCTACATATATGATTTACGCTTATGATTAAACAAATATTTGACCAGGAAATATCCAGAACGCATTCACAAATTATTTATTGACCTACCATTCTGTTGCCATCTGTGGCAACTCCTTTAGGTAGAGTGGAGAATAGCTGAGTGTATAGCTGATCACAATACCTTGTGATTCTCTTGTACAGAGAGAGGGTGCTTTAGAAATTCAAGAGCTTGACCTGCCTCAGCTCAACTTGGATTTGAGTCTAGGCAGTACTCCCAAGCCCAGGATGATGACTAGCTGAGCTCTTGGCAGCAAATATTTCTGGCTGCAAATCTTAATTCCATTACTTAAGTTTCTTAGTAATCTTGAAAGAGGTTTTTTTAACCTCTGTAAGCATCTAAACTATTAAATGGAATAATAATGGTGAAGACTCCTCTGAGCCAAGCCCAGCAGTGATTTCCCATGTCAGAATACAATCCTTTCATTTTATTCAAGCTAACAAAAGCTTCCTTAATCTGGCCCTTGTTTATCATGTCACTCTGGATTATTCTCTAAATTAAGACTATCCTGAATTATCTCTGAGTGTATTTACTATGATGTGTCTCACCCCAGTCTCTCCTTTGCTACTCATAGAGACCTTGTCTCTTATTCACTGCTGTAGTCCTAGAACCTAGGCAATGCCTAGCACTATAAATAATTGGTAACTTTTTGTTTAGTTTACTAAATAAATACTTACTTACTGTAACTTGCAAAGCACATAGTATAGGGTCCAAAAAATAACAAATTGTAATTTGTAATTGTTTGCAGTTGCTGCTACCAATTTTTTTTACTTCATATGTGGGGTTCTGCATATGATTTCATTTGGAAAAAAGTTTGCTATGACAGTATACTTAAGTTAGTATACTGCAGTAAAATTAACACCAAAACATCAAGCTGTACACCTTAAATATATACAGTTTTCATATGTCAATGATAACTCAATCAAGATTTTAAAAATTACTATATTACTAAGGGAATATGAAACCATTTGAAAAATAATCTCTTCCAAATTTTTAGTTGTAAAATAATGGTAAATATCAAAATGAACTGCTTAATTCTATTTGGTATTTTGGAGATCTTTTGTCTGCAAATTGTAAAGCAAGTAGGTTCAGAAGGGAAGGTTTTGTCACTGTACTTTTTTTTTTTTTAATGTGTTTCTTTTTTTTTTTAAAGGGGCATGTATTTTTATTTATTTATTTGCTTGTTTGTTTGTTTGTACATGCACTGGGTACAGTCAGAAGCGCGGGAGGGTGAGAGAATTCACCAGAGCCAGAGCGGGGAGCAGAGCAGGCAGAAGGACCAAAGTACACTGCTGAGGGGAGCAGCGGGTGGACCAAAGTACACTGCTGAGGGGAGCAGCGGGTGGCAGGAGAGGTCTGCGTGCCATGCGGGACCCTCCTCCGGTGGCCGGGGAGCAGCCGGGGATCGAACCGGCGCTGCAGAGGCCGCGGGCAGCTTCGCAACCCAGCGCTCAACCGCTGCGCCACCGGGGAGGCCCTGTCACTGTACTTTTAACTTATGTCAAATCACCTTACCAAAGAAGAAGGGAGAGCTGAATTTGAATCAACTAAAATAAGATTAACCTTTTTTTTTAAAGATTTATTTATTTATGCATACAAGAATGGGGGCACAGGCCAGAGGTGTGGGGGGTAAGATGATTCACCAGAGACAGAATGAGGAACAGAGCAGGCAGATTGACTGAAATACACTGCTGAGGGGAGCAGCAGGTGAGTCAGGAGAGGTCTGCTGCGCCATGTGGGTTACTCCCTGGCCAGGGATCGAACTTGTGCTGCAGAATCTGCGGTTAGCTTCATAGGTTGCATATTAACCCCTTGCGCCACCCAGGAGGCCCCAGATTAACCTCTTTTTAATTAAAAAAGCAAAAGCTAACCCAGGGTGACTACTCACAATGCTAATATTCTGTATTTTATTTCCACTTCTACTCCAGGTGTTGCCACATCTGCAAACTTCCAGGAAGAGTGATGGGGATTCGAGTGCTTCGTTTCTCTTTGGTGGTCATCCTTGTGTTATTACTGGTAGCTGGGGCTTTGACCACCTTGCTTCCTACGATCAAAGAAGACAAGATGCTCACTTTACGTAGGGAAATAAAATCCCAGGGCAAGTCCGCCCTGGATTCCTTTACTCTCATCATGCAGACTTATAACAGAACAGATCTCTTGTTGAGACTTTTAAATCATTATCAGGCAGTACCACATTTGCACAAAGTGATTGTGGTATGGAACAATATTGGGGAGAAGGGACCAGATGAATTATGGAATTCTCTAGGTCCTCACCCCATCCCTGTAGTCTTCAAAGTACAGACAACAAACAGGATGAGAAATCGACTTCAGGTCTTTCCTGAACTGGAAACCAATGGTGAGCTACAACTGGGAAGCAGGGTTGTAACTAAACAGAGCTGGGGGTGGGTGTATGTGTGTTTGGCCTTCCAACTGGCCAAATTGGAGAAAGCAAGGAAATTTAATCAAAAGAATGCACTCAGAAAAACTTAAGATAATTTCAAGAAGCAGTTTTCTGGGGAAGAAATCACATACCTATTGCAACAATGACAAAAAGGTTAATATGGTAAAAGAAGACAGGCTGTAATGACATTGCATCACAGAGGGTAGTAAAAGGCCATTTAGCTTATGCTTAATGTATTTTTGCCTCCCATTCATAGTGGTTTCATGGGGTTTTAATTTGTTTAAAAAGAACCTCAGTGTTATATATTTATAGATTCATTAGTTTCCAGTATAATTGTTGATAACTACATGCTAATTTCCCCCTCGGACAATTTCCCTCTTGGACAGCTGTAAAAGCAATTGCCATAAAACTTTCTGTCCAACAATCATCACTTATTTACTACTTTGTCATGAAATAGCTCATTGAATAATCTGTATAGACACCATTGTAATTACTAATTTTGTTTCCATTTCCAAATTGTTCTATTTAAATTTTTTCCTTTCTTTTCAGCAGTGTTAATGGTAGATGATGACACACTAATTAGTGCCCAAGACCTTGATTTTGCATTCTCAGTTTGGCAGGTAATGTTTTTCTTTCCTTTGTGAAATCTTCAGTATCAAACCTTGTCTATTACTTAACCAGGGTAACCCAAAACAGTCTCAACAGTCCTTATCTGAAAGATAAATTTGTTATATGATAATCAAGATTTCCTGTACTCAGCAAAGCCAGCCTGTAAGTTATGGTATCTTTTTTGTCTATATTTGATGTAAATATAGGGAGAAGAACTAGAACTACTTCCCAAAGAACATTGAGAAAATAATCAGGATTAGAGTTCAGAAATATTTTCCACATGGCCACAGACATGCGTCTCAAAAGAGAAATGTGTTTCTATGTTATTGTTGTAGATAACGTTCCTTAAAATAAAGCACTTATTACATCTACAATCTGAGATCATAGTTTAGAAATGAATAATGATTCTGTATATACCTTTGTGATCGCAGTTGGTTTCTGCCCCTCCCCAAACCCTAATTGTAATAAGCAGTCATAAATTGCTCACTAATCTGTAAAACCTCCCTTATTAAATGTGTTAATAGTAGCCAATTTTTATAAGTTGCACTGCAATTACTAGAAACCAGAAGTACATACAGATACTCTGAAGCCCAGTCGATTAAACACTATGCTACCAATTAAATGGCTTGATTTGCACTGTAGTAAGTCTCCTTAATTAGCTACTTTGGATATAACACTGTTAGATATTAATGCTAAGTGGTCACAAGACTCTCCAGATGTCAGCATTCAAAAAATTAGTTGTTACTTCATGCCTACTGTACTGATTAACAATTTTTTCCCTTATCAGCAATTTTTCCAGCACTGAAAATAAAAGCTAAGTCTTAGGCAAAAATTCAATACTCGGCCAATGAGATTTCTAGTTCATGTAAAAAAAAAAAATCAATCTTCCTAAAATGTCAGGGTTGGAGGCATACAAAAACTATGGCTAATTAGAACAATCCAAGTAAACCATAACTTAAGACAGATAAGCATGACTTTAGTTTTTTTTTTTCATAAAAACATCAAGAACAATTTCAATCCATTACCCAAGATGTGACCCTTAACTCCAGTCCCCCCAGTGCCCTACATCGTAGAATGATTTGGGGTCACTGGCCAGCAGGACTAGAGAGAATTTGTGTCTTTGCCTGCATCCCGACATCCACTTTTAGTGCTTTTTCTTTTCCCCCTCTGGCTATCTGTGAAATTTCTTTCATCCTCCTGGATTGCGTAAGTGGTGTATCTTCTCTGAAGCCTCCCAGGCTTTATTCTTCCTCTTCTGACCTTCTCCTTTACTTCCAGCTCATTCTCTTCTTTACCCAGCTGCTTTTACAACTTTCTCCTAGGATGGTAATTCTCTTTTTCAGTATCTGTTTCATACCCTGTCTAGATTGATTTTTTTGAAATGGTATTTAACTCACCCTAATTTTCTGTGTGTGTGCATCTTATTAGTTTAGTGTCTGTTCAGTAAATGACTAAAAAGCAAATTATGTATGCACTTGAATTAAATCTTTTAACCCAGTAAATTCTTATCTCTTTCTCATGTTTCACTGGTTTTCTTGTTTGCTATTTTTGTTTTATTTTTAGTCACTCCATTTTAGTATTATTAAGTGTTTTGTTGCTATCCTTTCTTCAAAGATCTAACAAACACATAAATATATATAATCTTATGTTTTTAAAAAGAAAATACCCAAGTTGAAAGGCATAAAGTAGAACATTGTTTAAAATCAATAGTGACTTTTGGGAACATTGGAATTAGCATGTAAACGCAGTAATTTTAATCAGATAAGTAATTAAACCCTAAAATATTAAATTTTTTTCAAAATAATCCCATCTATATTTTCTTATCACCTGCCATAAGTAAAATTTACTTGCAGCAAAGTTGGAGGAACTGGACTCTCTAGTGACTGGAATTTATTAATGTCAGATAATGTTTGAATGAGACAAACATTCGTGAGTTTAGAAGTTTTTTTTTCACAGAAATTTGGGTTGTGATGTAATTTGACCATAAGAATATCCAGGGCAAATTATGATGAAGTTGCCTAGAGTTAGAGGAAATCGAGATATAGAAACCAGAAATAGGGCCTCCCTGGTGGCACAGGCGGTTGAGTGCAGTGCTGTGAAGCTGTCCACAGCCTCTGCAGTGCGGGTTCCATTCTTGGACAGCCAGGGAGATGCCCACATGGCACAGTGGACCTCTCCTGTCTCACCCGCTGCTCTCCTCATCAGTGTATTTCGTCAGTCTGCCTGTTCTGTTCCCTGCGCTGTCTCTGGTGAATCCTCTCACCCTCCCACACATCTGGCCTGCACCCCAGTTCTTGTATGCATGAATAAATAAATCTTAAAAAAAAAAAAGAAACCAGAAATAAAATTGACAAATGAGTTAAATTCTCTGTAATAAATCACTGCCCTTTTCAATATGCCTACTCAAAAGAAATGTCACAATTAATTGTTCTTTTTCCATCTTTTCAGCAATTTCCTGATCAAATTGTAGGATTTGTTCCTAGAAAGCATGTTTCTACTTCATCTGGTATCTACAGTTATGGAGGATTTGAACTGCAAACACCAGAGGTTGGGAATGGTGACCGTTACTCTATGGTGCTGATCGGAGCTTCATTCTTCAACAGCAAATACCTTGAACTCTTTCAGAAGCAACCCGCTGCCGTCCACGCTTTGATAGATGAAACGCAAAACTGTGATGACATAGCCATGAATTTTATCATTGCCAAGCACATTGGAAAGACCTCTGGGATATTTGTGAAACCCGTAAACATGGGTAATTTAGAAAAAGAAACCAATGGTGGCTATTCTGGAATGTGGCACCGAGCCGAGCACTTTCTGCAGAGGTCTTATTGTATAAACAAGCTTGTTAATATTTATGACAGCATGCCTTTAAAATACTCCAACATTATGATTTCCCAGTTTGGTTTTCCATATGCCAACCACAAAAGCAAAATGTGAAAGTAAAATAAGCCAACAAAAACGAACCTCAAAACTGCTTAGTCTCTGAGTATCTCTCCATGCAATGGCTTTTTGATTTGTTTTTTGAAGCAACATCATGAACTTTTGTGTTCTTCAGAAGACTCAGCAATGAAAAAATATGCATAGCACTTTTAGGACATAAAATTCTCATGAATTTCAAAAACCAAGACACTGGTATTGTGAGGAGTTTTCATCCACAGATCTAACTCCTTGATCAGCTATTTTATTGTTTACATTCTGAGACTGTTCTGCAATTTCTTTGACTCTTGGCATTTGCCTTAAGGACATAGAGCAAACTGTTTCCCGGATAACGAACTCCAGAGAAGCAGTTCTCAGCTTTCTCATGAAAGGATGATTTTATTTAAAACCTGAAATGCCTGTGGTGTCCGGAAACACCATGTGAGGAGGGAATAGTCTCAATTTCATATAAGAACACGTGTAAAATTCGTGGCTACCACTGCTTCCCTGTGGTCCTTCCAGCCAAGCCCTTTCTGGAACTAATTTAGCCCGGGATGGTCTTGATGCAGCCATCAGTGCTTTTAATTTTGTTGATAAGTCTGTAGTGACTGGGAGGATTAATTTTAGCTGAAGGAAATCTAGTTGTTTGCTTGAATTTTGTGAACACGTACTGCATGGATCTGAAAAAAGTGCCGCCTGTTTCTTACATGAACTTATATGCAGCAAGCAGTAAATATATTACTAGATCCAGGTAGTGCATTTTGTCACTAAAACTGACCTTGAGATTGTACATTAATTCTTATATTTTACATAAAGTACATGTTGTTTTAAGAAATGTATAAAGTAACTCTTCTGAAAGAATGATTAAGTAGAAACTGGAAGAAATTAAAACTCTAAATGTCAAAAGATCTTTATTGTTAGAACATAGATTATCTCACAGATACTAAAGAGTTGTCTGTGTCACACAAAGTCATTCTCTTTTCTCAAAAATCTAAGACACTATTTGTCATGATGAATTTTGATTACACAAATACAGGGGAAAAAACTAAGAAACTCTAGTTCTGCACCTAGAATTTAAATTGTCCACTCTGTCTTGTGAATTAGTATCAGTGTCCACACGGTATCTGTTCGGTCCTTGCTTTTGCTGATGGCAAGGATCAGACATCTGTTTTCTTACCCTTCTCCTATCCTTCCCGTAATGCTATTATATTTTCACAATTGCAAAGTTGTGAAAACATTAAACTGATCATCTCGTGTTGCACCAATGGGATCATGCAATTAGATCCTTACATGTTTTTTTCTTTACATTGGTGTGTATGTATATGTCTATGCTGTCAGATAAAACCAATAAAACTTGAAACCACAGAATGATCTATGATGTTAATTATCTGCTTTGTCCAACCTCACTAGTGATTTTTTGTCTCTTAGGAGTCCGCTGGCCGATGAATAAAATGAACTTACCGTGCAGGTATTCTGCTAATTAAACAAACTGCGGGTTTTTTTTGTGGTATTTTTACATATTTCAAAAGATGTCAATATATTGCTCAGAATAAGGTAGAAGCAGTAGCTACATTTCTACATTCCCAAATTTTATTTCCCATCCTGCGTATGAAAAATTGTTTTAAGCATGTCATACATCAATCATATGTTTTCCAGACATTACCAACCAATTATGAAACTAAATGTCAATTCTGTGCTACTGAACTTTTATTATGTGTGACCTCTCTCCCACTTAGGGCCTTTGCACCTGTGTGTGTATGGCCTGTCTGTGCACCTGTGTGTGTGAAAGATTTGGCTAAGGCACTCCTGCATGACTGCACTGAGACAATGGCCCACATCACAAGGTGGCCAGGGACACCTATGTAGCCGTTGACTGTGTGGTCAGTGTCCGAGATGGTTTGGGAGTAGCTCGGAAATTACACCAAGCACCTGCACAGGAAGTCCTCCCTGTATATGTGGCCGACATGTGCCCTCTGTTCCCCATGAAGTTGATTACCCTTTATTCCCCTTGAATCCTGTTCCCCATAAAGATGAATACCCTGCACCCTGCTTCACCTGCTATTGTTATATAATCAACCATGGTTATTCATTACTGTTAGATAAATAGCAAGAGCTCACTGGGCAGCAGAGTCTTTGCCTTGCAAACCTGCTCCACGACACGTCCCTCAAACATATCCCTGGGAGCATGCTGCCATGTTCCTGACCACCAGAATTATGGCTAGAATTTTCCTAGAGCTTTGTCCCTGAAACCTCTCTTCCGGCTCCAAATGATCCAAAGAGAAGATGCTCAGGTTAAAAACTACCTGAGAAGCAAGGGAGCTCCCGGGTTAAGTGTGCAGGCAGCATGTGTCAGCTCAGCCCTTGCAAGACCTCATAGTTACTAACCCAACAGTAGCTTCAGTAGCCTTATCTGTCAAAATAATATATCTACGTTGGAGGCTGTTTTAGGAATAAAGGAGACAGATAGCCTGTATAGATAAAGCAAAAAATGTCTTGGTCATTTTATTTTTTTAAAGATTTATTTATTTATTTATTTATACAAGCACAGGGTACAGTCAGAAGTGCGGGAGGGTGAGAGAATTCACCAGAGCCAGAGCAGGGAGCAGAGCAGGCAGAAGGACCGAAGTACACTGCTGAGGGGAGCAGCGGGCAGCAGGAGAGGTCTGCGCACCATGTGGGACCCTCCTCTGGTGGCCGGGGAGCAGCCAGGGATCGAACCAGCACCGCAGAGGCCGCGGGCAGCTTCGCAACCCAGCACTCAACCGCTGCGCCATGGGGGAGGCCCAACGGCTAAATGTTTTTATGTCTATTCCTATAAACTCATCTAGGCGTCTTTTACAAAACTCATTTATTTAGTACTTCATTAGTTGGATTAATTATAACTTATGTAATTAATTATATTTCCATTTTGATAATTTATTGTTATAGCAACAATTGGGTAGTGTCCTTATCTTGAACAGACATCGTTGAGCATATTTATAGTGATTTCTTCAAAGTTAAGTTCAGGAAGTCCATTACCTGGGTCTAAGCAGAATGTGTGATTTTAGGATTTTTGGTACATGTTACTGTGAGCCTTCAGAAGTGTTGCCACAGCCACACTATTATACTCACATCTGTGTACCTATTTCCCATCAGACTTCCCAACATGGCATATTATTTAAAACCTTTTCCATGTGTAAAATCCCCAGGTGCTGTAGAATTTGAAAGAACTTGGACTGTTTTAAGAATTCTGAATTACGGTTGAAAAGAAGAAATGAAAGTCAAGATTCCAGGGCAGTGTAAATTAAGTGTTTCTGGAAACAGCTTCAAGGTTTGAGTGTAGACAATGAATTACTGACTGCTGCACCTCCCCCTGCAGTGACTGACCCTTTGCTGATCCCAGGAATATAAAACTCAGCAGCAACAAAAAGTGCTCCTACTTGTTCCTCTTGAGCAGATGACTTAGAGTTTTGACTCCCCCATGGTCAAGAGTAGGTAAGTGTGTGTGTGTGTGTGTGTGTGTGTGTGCGTGTGTACGTGCACATGGTGTGCGCTTACATGCACTTGTGGAATTGGAAATAGAGGGAGTGGGAAGGAGGAGGGTGGAGTGGAGGATAACGCTGAGATAGCAGAGGACTATGTAGAATTATGGAGGTGCCAAATCTCCTTGGATGCTGCAAGGACTTAAATGGTGAAGTTTAATCATCCTGCCCCCACTGCTATTTCATAAACCAGTTTTTTTTTTTTTCTGCTAAGGTTCTAAATTTGTTCTTTCTGCCACTCCCTCTTCCCTTCCCTTTCCCCTCTTGTGCTTACAAAAGGTTTACTATAAAATCCAAATTTTTAAAAAATATACCTACTGAAGATGAAGTGAAAAGAACATTTGCTACATTGGAAGCATGTTTTGAAACCTGGCTCCACTTTCCTATCTGCAGGGATGAAAAGATCTGCCCTAAAATCCCACTGGTTTGCTTTTAGTTTCAAAAAGAATAATTTGCAGAAATAGTAGAAATAATTTGTAGAAATTTGTAGGAAAAACTTTAGTTTCAAAAAGAATAATTTAGCAGTATCAGAAAACAAAAGAAATTTTAAAAATTCATCACCAATAAAGAGTGATTTGGTCAAGAGTAAAACAAACTTGGCTGTGAATTAGTAGCTGTATCAAAATTATACCTTAGAACATGAAGGGAAGTGATAATAAATAGGTAAGTACTAAAAATTCAAAGAACCCACTTCTCTAGCTCAGAGTGGAATATTTAAATAAGTCTCTAAAGTAGCAATGACTTGGAGCTACACTGACTCATGTTGATATTTTATTGGTAAAGATAAAGAATCAAATTCTTTATCAGAATCTTTTAAGTAGTTTTGAAAATAAGGAGGCAGCTTTAATTTATAGCAGTGGTTCTTAATTTGGGCTGATTTTGCCCCCAGCAGTCATTTCGTAACTTCTTGAGACATTTGGTTCTTACAATGTGGAGGATTCTTCTGGCATTTAGTAAATAGATGCAAGAACTCTGCAGCTCACACCACAGAGATTTAAGATCCCCAAATGTCAACGGTGCTGACATTAAGGGAAAAATGTGCTTGACTTTCTAGAAAATCTGATTGATAATTTATTTGTATAGCACACAGAATCACAATGCAAATAGCATTGCTCCAGATTTATCCTATATGACAGTACCTATTGGAACAGAAAATTGGGGGTGGGGGGCGGGGGGAATGTGCTGTATTACTGATAAAACATCTGGTGCATAATTCTGTGACCTTCAAATCTAATCAAACCATCAGAAATTTCCCTAGTTAAGATTTATTTCTCTTTTTTCTGATCCACATACCTGGGAAGGACCTCTGAATTAAATATATATTCTAAAGCACGAAAGAGCAATATTACAAAACACAGTGTATATTTTAATAATAAATCACTAGTTAGAGAAAGTCAAGTTGGTAAATTTACAACAAGCTAAATCTAAATTATCAAATAATCATATTTATGCTTGTTCAAGTATTTTTGGTTTAAACAAAGTTAATAAATAAACAGCTAGTAAGGACAATTTATCTAAGAAAGCATCTTGGAATGGAAGAATTAGACAACATATTTTCTTACATCAGCTACTGGGTCTCAGAATCTCATTTATAATAGAGAGGACTAAACTGAATTCTTAAATTTAAATTTAAGATTTAATGTGTAACCAAGATGAAAATGCATACATTGTGCAAAAATGAAAAATAATGTAAAAATATATAAAATAATTAAAACAAGATTTAATGCTTAAATGTAATACATTTCCTTAATTCATTCTTAAATCATTTGCTAAATTTATTCTTATATTTAGTGAATTTCTTTCCATTTGTAAAATTCTACAACCCTAAATCAGTTCTTGGTAGGTTTCAAAGAAGCCATATTATACTTCCTGGCAAGAAAAAGTGATCCCCTAGATTTTAGCTCAGTAGGAATTTCCTTCCTTCCTTGTGCCCTAAACCTATGGACACTGGAATGCTTTCCCAAAGGGAATATTGACTTCATAAACTTCATAAACTGACATCACTATTGTTCTGTTTTAGGGCCAAATGACATAATGGTGAAGATAATGAGGAAGAAGATGATGATGTCATCATTCACTGATTGGATGAGGTTTTTATTTAAAAGATATTTTACTTAATTAAGCTTCTATTGCCGCTGGCCTTTATGAAGATTCCAAAAAGAGTTGCAATAAGCTAGCAAAACACTGGAAGCAAGTAGAATCATGAATCACAAACAATCATGCATAGCCACTATTTTTTTTAATACAGAGTGCAAATATGCTCTAGACTAAATGAAATTTCAATTTCATCAAAATTTATGTTAAATGGTTTCTATGGAATTTACTGTTTTACCAGCAGATGTCAGTGCAGCCTAATTAACTGAATAACATTTTTAGCATTAAAATACCAGAAGGCATACTGAGTGAAAATAGTCTTAACATAGCCAAGTCAAAAGCCCACTGTCTGAGTTTGTTTTTGGTTTTTTATTAAGAGTCTCTTCTTAAGTGGTACTATAGAAAAATATCAATCCTTCAAAAGTTATCAAGTTAAAATGGGTCCTTACCTAGGTAACTCATATTAGATACATTTTAACACTTTATATAACATGTGACAATCGCATTTCTCAGTGACAGCAGAAACAGGACCTTTATTAAATACAGAATGCTAATTTGTGGTGAAGTGTGAAAATAACGGTATTTTTAGAACACATACATCATAGACACTTAGAGCCAAATGAAACTTGTCTCTGGGTGAAATATTTACAGTCCCGGAAGAAACACATTATTTCCTAATGAACCTAAAACATCTACAGTGTGATATCATTTGTTTTCTATATTGTTGCCTTTTGCTTTTAGCAAAAGTTGTTAATCTAATGACAATAACAGCACTGCCTATTATGTAGGGAATACTCACATTATACCATTCAAAATTTGCAACAGCCTTGCAAGGCAGGTAGATAACCTGTGTTACCCACATTCGAGGACTCAC